TGTTGAAAAAGAAAAAAATAAAAATGACAATGATGTGGAAAATGAAAATCATGATGGTAATGAACATTTAAAAATAAAGAATTTGAGAGTTGGTTGTAGAAAATTTGAACTGGAAGTTACTTGGGGTGATGATGAGATCAGCAAAAAAATCCAATGGCCTTATCCAGATCAATATGTAACACCTATAAGACATGCTTGTAAGGCTCTTGAGTATCTTAATTTTAAAAAAGATTTATTAGTAAGCTATAAAAAACAACGTGGATTTGAAGAAATGTATGAATATATTGTAAAAATTATTTTGAAATTCATTAGAGACAAACCTGAAATATGGAGACTTATGGATACTCGTTATGAGGTTATGTCAAACCTTATCAATGGTGGAGTTAATTCTCTTATAAAGTATATTTTATTTGGTAAAGATCAAATTGGAGACAATAGTATTATTCAAAATACAACCAAAAAAACATCCTATAATACTTCTAATCACTTGCATTTACATTTACCAAGAGCTAAACAATGGCAAAAAAATAAAAATGAAAATGAAGATGAAGATGAAGATGAAGATGGAAATGGAAATGGAAATATTCAAAATAATGCATTAGTATTAGCAATCAAATATTACACTGAAAAAAATGATAATTTAATTATAGGCTATTTATTAGAATATTATTCCAACAATGCTATTGAACATATTGGATGGATGATCACTGTTTCAACAACTTTACCTTTACTTTTCCAATCTCATTTAGAAGATTATGTGTATGATTTATTTTACAAAGAATGTTTTACTGATAATAACATAGGAACAAATTTTAAACTTTTTTTAGATAAAGAATTGACTGATAATAGCATAGGAATAAATTTTAAGCTTAAAGAAGATACTGAAAGCAACCTCCTGCAAAATAGTGTAAAGAAAATTCCTTTTAAAAAAATAGCTTTTGGAAAAGATAATCAAAATAGAGCAAATGAGACTAAAGAGAAAACTGCTCAAAAAGCTGAAGGAAAAAACAAACACAATACAGTACCATTCAACTTGTGTGTAGTACCACTTCCAAATTTCACAGTTAATAAGATTGAAAAGAAAAATGTTCAAAAAAATGTTGTTATAGCTTGTCTTAGACATCTTATACTTCCTTATAAGTATATTGGTGATGAAATAAAACTTAGTTCATTTACTCATATGATCAATTTAGACAGAAAAGGTTTAATTTTTGATAATCCAGCAATAGAAGCTCTAATAAATTTTCGTTGGAGACCAGCAAAAATATATTTTTTATTACTTTTCTTTACTTTTATACAATATGCAGTTTGTTATGGTATATTAATTTGGGCCTATACAACACATCAAAACAATTCAAATAATCTTCGAAACTTTTTAATTTTAGTTATGGGTTATTTTTATTTTACAGGATATCATCTTTTATTAACTGAATTTAGACAATTAAAATATTATGGATTTAAAAAATATGTTACTGGTAGATATAACAACATATTGGATATTATTGCTATTATTGTACCCTTAATAGTTGAAACAACTATAATAGTTAAATCATTTGAAATTGAAGATGCATTTGGTAGTGTTAAACCTGATCAAGGAACAATTGCTGCTATATCTTTTTCAATGTTATTTCTTTGGATTGAATTTGTAAGTAAAGCTATTGTTTATCATTTTTGTTATTATTATTGATAATTAATTATTTATTTATTTATTTATTTAAAAAGCTTTCATATCTTAGATTATTTGAAGGTACATTTGTGTATTATTTTATAAATATAAAAATATATTAAAAATTTAAATTTTTGTAGGTGTAGGAATTTATATTATAATCACAGGAAATCTTTTGGTAACTGTTTGGCCACTTTTGTTATTTATGCTTATTGTTATATTGGCATTTGCTCATGTAATGTAAGTCGTATATTTGTATTTTAAAACATTCTCTTTAAAATAATATAACAATAATATATTATTATAGGTATATATTGCTACAAAATCCAGATGATATAGGATTAGCACCAAGTGTGAATACATATTCTATTGTCAATACAACTACCAATCAAACAGTGTATAATGATATAACAATTAAAGCAGATTTTAATAGCACATCATCAATTGATAATCCATTTTCAAACTTTTGGAGTTCAATTCCAGCTGCATATTTTTGGATGGGTGGTAATTGGATAAATAAGGATACTTATGGCAGTTATTTTGCAGTTCAAATTTTATCTTTAATTGCAAGCTTGTTAATTGTAATCATTATACAAAATATGTTTATAACTTTTGTGAGGTAATTAATAATTATATCTTATTAAGTTTAATAATATTATTTTTTCATATTAATATAAATAAATATATCTTATTTAGTATTGTGTATGAAAAAACATCACAAGAAAGTAAAGTTGAACTACTCAGGCTCCAAGCTGCTTTCATATTAGAGTTTGATGCTTTGGATTTAGATGATTTTTTAAATTCTCCTAAACCTGATCCAAAATACATTTGTCATAATAATAATAATCTTGATGCATGGAAAGAAAGAACCAAATCAAGAAGAGGTTGTTTATATGCAAAATATGAAAATGAAAATTCTTATATTCAATACGTTCTTGAAAAAAAGGATTTTGACCATCAAGCTGGTTCTTTGTGGCAGTTTCATAAGGGACTGGACGATTTCAATGATGATGGTGCTAATAAAAAAATTAAGATTTTAGAAGAAAAAATTTCAAATTTAGAAAAAAAAATGGATATCATAATATCGTTACTCGCAAAACCTTGAAATTTTTCTCTTCAAAAAAAATACAATGTATTATTATTATTTATTTTTTCAAGTCCAGGATTTAGTTTTTATGTTAACCCTTTATTTTACGTCATAATTTTATTTGATATACAATTTTTAACATTTTTACACATCAAGGTTTTTTTTTTCAATTAAAAATATAGTTTTTATTATATTAACCTTTATTTTATAATTTTACAATTTTTCAAACGTTTTTACACATAAGCATTTTAAATTGTCAATTATTATAGTGTATGTTCATATGGGGGCTGTTCTAGGAAAAAGTGGGTTTCGACCCTCAGATTCAAAAATGAGATATTTATACCAAATTAATC